TTTTTTTTTTTTTTTTTTTTTTTTTTAAATTGGATTTTTTGGTTAATGATTGTTAAATTTGAAAAAGTTGGTTGGATTAAATTTGAGTAGAATATTGAATTTACATAAAAATAATGAATAATTATTTGATGTAAAAATATGAGATATGTGATTCGAAATTAAGTGAACGGGAGGGTTGAGTTGAGTTAAATTTGAGTTGTGATTGAATTTGTTTGAGAAAACCTTGCATCTAAACATGCACCTACACTTTAACACTTGCATATGTTAGGTGATTCTGGTACGGAGAATCACCCATATATATAAATTCCGAAGGTGCTGAGCATAAATGACTCACTCACATGCTTCGAATGCTTATTTGACATAAATTTGTGTTTGTTGAGATCCGAATCAGCCCGACCTGGGACTTGCGATCTGAATGCGGGAGACCGGCAGAAGACGGCCTCGCGGTTCAGATGGGTGACGAAGCAAAGCGGAGTGCGGAGCTGAAAAAAGACGAGAGTCAACCAAGGCGACATCCCGAGCATTCTCCGAGATCGGCATCGCCTTCTATGATGTGCGAACGCCGACCTGGGTAAGCGTCGAACTGGAACACGGACCCCTAGGATCTAGAGGAACGAAAAGTATTGAAAGTCCGAGCTAGACATTCCTTGAGACCGGCGACTACACAAGAGTCAGGCTTAGGAGTAATATAATATTGTCACTTGGTATCTAATGATTGAGCGATGAGACAAGCCGCCCTAACCTACTATCCTAGAGTACCTAGCCCAGCAAAAGGTCTGGCAGCATTCAATGACCCCCATGTGTGCATTAAATGCTTGGCAGACCATAACTGAAGAACCTCAAATCGCATTTACTATTTGTCAGGGAAGCGCCGACCTGGCCTACAGAAGAACTGTACGAAAAGGCCGGTGAACAATATCGGAACAATAACATTTAAGGATACTATAAATAGGAACCCACCTCATTTATTTTGGCTTGTTGAATCACTCAACTACTACTTTCTCTCTCTAGGATCCTGTAATAAATTCATTTAATAATTCCAAGTGTAAGAAAAATGTCGACCTCAAGTTCATAGGCCGACCTTATAATTATATAAGAAAACTCCATTAAATCGTATTTCCTTCTCATTTTCTATTTCCAATTTTTTTATTATATCTTATTTTAACCGTTGATCGGATCCGTCCATCAACAGTTTGGCGCCAGAGGAAGGGCACCATTAGTTATTTGGTGTCAACATTTCGATCTTGTGGAACTCCACATTGAATTCATCTTTTTCTCACTTTTCTACTTAAAAAAACTCACTCAAAAATGACTTCATCCAGTCATGACGAGTCTACCCACCAGTGTTGAGCTCAGTCTCACCGGCGTAATGGCGAGGAAACTTCCGCCGCGCTCAACAGAGAACTTAAGCTACTGTCCCACCAGTCCCGACTTTTGCTGCAACCATGCAGCACCCCGACGTTCTCAAAGTCCTCGAGGGGGCTTTTGCTAAGGCCTTGGCCAGTCACCCGGCCGAGGCAAACATTGTGGCGGCGACCGAAAATCCAGGCAATACGTTGCTCCAAACCCGCGAAAAGAAGGAAAAATAAAAATGAAAAAAAAGTTGAAAGTATTTTGGCCTGGGGTGAATTATTGGGCTTTTTATCAACTGGGCTCAAATATTGAGCTACATATTTTGCCTCAAAATGATTGTTAGTTTGGGAGGAGGCAAGGGCATTCTAAAAGGGCTTTTTATGATATTGATGTTTATTTGATGTGTTATTAAATGAGGCATAGGAATTTACTCTCCGTATGTATGGACTTGAACTCTAGTGGTATAGAGTTAAGTTCAGACTTTAGAGGTTTGTGGTTATGGGTTTTCCATATGGTATTGTCGAGTTAAGCTCAGGATTTATCAGTTCTTTCGCTATAAGTTCTGTTTAGTGTCTCCAAGTGAGAACCATTCGTAAACTATCTCGAAAGGGAAGGGTTTAGAAACCGAGTAAGTCCCTAGTGTATGGGATTACTCGGAGAACTAGAACCATTGTTGATAGGACCATCAGATGGGTGTAAGTACCTAGTCAATGAGGACCGGGAGTGGTGTTTATGTAACACCCCGCCTAGACTTACTAAAATCAGAGTAATTTTTTCGCGCTATAAAAGGAAAACTATGTTTTAATTTTCAAAAACTCATATTAATTTTTCGAAAATACTTTAATTTTAATATGCAGGATGCTACTCAACTTTAATCTTAAATCTTTAATCTGTAATATCTTTATACTACTAGGCATGAAACCGAGTATAATCCATTACTCTAAACATCTCAGGATTTAAGCATGCATAGACTGAAATTGTAGATACTGAAATACTGAGTGCGGAAGCAAATGTAAGCATGCATCAACAAAACATAATAACTCAAACATGCTAAAATATACATGACATGTTTACTAAAAATATCCTTGCTATGACCACCACCACATCATCGGCTCACGCTCTCCGCTCGACACCGTCACCTGAAAAATGGTTAGTGGGGGGCGTGAGCATAAATAATCCACGTGCTCCGCCGGAACCGACACTGAAATATACAGCTAATATAATAACATATCATGACATCGGCATATAGCAAGTACTAATGGTTCGGAAGAAACCGATATGATGATGAGCATTTTACTACAGATTAGGCATTCAACCAATAAGCACTAAAATCGACAAAACTATCTATAGCTGCTACTTAGCTGACTGCATATAACCACTGCTCAGCTACTTGTCTATTATTTCTGCTCGACTGGACAACTATAACTGATGCTCAACTGACTATCTCTAATAGCTGCTCAACTTACTATATATAATGGGTGCTCGACTGGCTAACTATAATTGCTGCCCAACTGTCTAACTATAACTGCAACGTCACGAACTAAACATACATATTATATGATAAGCACATCCAACCTCAGCATACATCTAATATGATAAATCACATCGCAACCTAAGCATACATCTAATATGATAGAACACATCACAACCTAAGCATACATCTAATATGATGGAACACATCACAAATGCGTATAAATAAGTATATTGTCTATAACTGCTGCTCAACTGACTATCTCTAATAGCTGCTCAACTTACTATATATAATTTCTGCTCAACTGACTGTTTAACAGGCGAGAAGGACATTAGGTCTTCACGCTCACGATAAGCAACCGTAGGACCTAATCTGTAGGTCGTTGCCCATACTAGGGAAAAACTAACTCTTATGCACTTCTAAGGTTGGAGCTTAACTCACAACTGCACTAGAGTCCTTGATACTAACTGGGGATTTGAAACACTTGGTTATGACGAAAACTATCTCTAGATCAATGCCCCTTATCGAAAATTATTCTAAGATCATCTAAAATTAGACTTAACTCAAGGCTGCTCTAGGGTTCTGAATTCACTTAACTCAAAGCTGCACTATAATTCTTATCTCACCTTAACTAACGTTCGATTCACCTAGCTAGAAAGGATCTACTCGCTAGGTAGTTGCCCCTAATCGGGCGGAATCTTACATACATACCTCAACCATGGTATTGCGATTATAGAAGATGTAATACCCAGTACAGGGTCCCCACCTGATATGTTGAAATGCAAGATCTGAATGGTTTGCAGCTGTCGGAGGCTCGACTCTCCACAAGCTACAAAATATATAAGCACAAAATATATTCTAAGTACTTATCTTAAACTGAAAACTCGAATTATATTATCTGATCTGTCTAGGTTCGCTCACTTGGCTTTAAAATCATTTTAGGGATTTACGAGCTGATTTTAAAAATTTATTGTCTTTGAGGAATTCTAGAGTTTTCTGAAATATTTCTAAGTCTAAAACTAAAATCTGACCTAAATCCAAAATATATCTGGATCTAAAATCTATCTGAAATCGTAACTATATCTGAAATCTTAAATATATCTGAAATCTTATTCTGACTGAATCTGAAATTTATCTAAGATTCTATCTGAAATATACCTTGAACAGTCCGGATTGACCGGATCGGTTCAAATAAACTGGACCGACAACTCACTCGAAG